GCATGTTGAGAGATATTATGGGGTTCTCCAATAAAAACGCTAGAAATGAACCGTTCGAGGGAAAAATAGTTGTACTTGGGAGTGACTTGCGTCAAATCCTTCCAGTCTTGCCAAGAGCTTCAAGAGAGTAAAATGTAGAAGCTACAATCAATTCATCGAGTTTGTGGTCATTTTGAAAAGTCTTCACATTGGCACGAAATATGAGCTTGCATTTATCTGCATCCACCAATATAATACAGATAATGACACACAAAATTTTTCTGACTAGATAATAAAAATCAGAGATGGACGTACAGGTTGACGTGGTTAATGATGGAATTGGTGATATTAGAATTCCACTAGAATCCTTGATTCTTAACTCGAGTTCTCTGCTTAAGAATATCGTGGAATTCACATATCTAGATTTATTAGAAAATATGAAATATTATACTTTCTTTATTAGATATAGTGTTATAAGAACCAATACTTGAAGTTATTGAAATGATCAATGAATTTGTTTTGCCTCTTATTCCCGGTGATGAAAAGGAATATTTGAGTTTAGATTCTTCATGCCAAATAGATTCAGATGTTGGCATAGATATAGTGATTGGATAACGACCGAGTTTTTGAACGATATCAAATGTTATGGGATTTCAAATCACAAAATAGTTTTGAAGAAAGGAGTACTAATCATATTATTGAGAAACATTGATCAAACATTAGGATTGTGTAATGGTACAAGGTTAATCATTGAAGAGTTGCAAGGAAACGTTATCAGTGCAATCATTGTATCCGGAAACAATACCACGGAGAAAGTTTACATACCAAGAATGAATTTGGTACCATCTGATCCTTGATTACCATTTAAGTTTTAAAGAAGACAATTTCCAATATCTTTATGTTTTGCCATGACTATCAATAAGAGTCTAGGCCAAGCAATGTTATTTCTTCGAGTGTTTTTTTACCAAATCAGTATTTACTCACAATCAACTTTACATTGCAATTTCACGAGTGAAAGCAAATTAAAGACAGGATTGAAAGTGTTAATTTTAGACGACAGCGACAATCCTTGCAATTTCACCAAAAATGTAGTTTACCCTAAAGTTTTTTAAAGATATAGATTTCATTTATACATTTATACATTTACACGCTCTTTTCAATTTATATATGCATGCATTTTGATTAGCAAAAAATTATGGTATACCAATAACTAAGAATAAAAAAGTGTCTGAATAAAAAAATCGTTCGCACTCGTGCGTGGGGCGAGTCACAATATTAGTAATAATAAAAATATATACTCCCTCCGTCTCCAATTCGATTACAAGTTTTTCTACCTCGTCTCGATAACTTTTGTTTGTTTATACGATTTCATTAAGTATTTTATGAAATAAAATATTTTTGTCACCTCTTGTTTTGTAGAACTTTTGACGTAATTTTTTAATATATAATTTTTATGTCTTATCGATATACTAATTTGTAACTAAAATGATTTCAAAAAGTGAGATATTTCTCCACAGAACACGCAAGCGGAGGGAAGCTTATTAACCTACCTTTTGAAGGTTGTCAGCGAAGGGGGTGGCTTTGTTTAGGGTTTTCCAGAGGAACATGTTTGCTTTTGGTATTCCTTTTTTGGGCCATGGGATCTTTGCAGTAAGAATGAGAGGATTTGGTTCCTGCAGTTTGAGTGCGACCTTTTTAAGAGAGTACGACCCCTGGTTCCCAAACTCCCATGAAAGCACTCCGTTGTTTGATTTTGAGTTTGCGGAATAGAAATCATCAGCTTAGCGAATTCTCTTCCAAGTCGGACTATCGGTGATAGTGCTGGTGAAGAAACCATTGGGATGGTAGCTTTGCTTGATGAAGAAGACCCAAGGAGATGAGGTGAAGTGATATTTCCACCAAAATTTGTACCCAAGAGACTGGTGGAGTAGGTAAAGGTTTGGAACTCACATTCCTCATTCATCTAATGGTTTGCATATTTGCTTCCATGATACCCATGCATGTTTAGATCTTTCGGCGTTGTTTCCCCAAAAAGAAGTGGCAGAGTTTTCCTTCAATCAGGGAAATGATCTTCTCTCGAAGTTTGGACTAGGACATAGTGTGTAAAGGGAGAGTAGAGAGGGCATGTTTGATGAGTGTTAGCCTGCCAGCTTGAGAGTGTGTGTGCATTTTCTAACTAGATAGTTTGAGATTGAATTTCCTGAGGAGTTCCTGGTAGTATATGGATCTATTGATCCTTTTGTAGAGAGGGACGCCAAGGTATGTTATGGGGAGTGGAGCTATTTTCATCTCTAGGCAGGTTGTTTAGAGTTTGGTGTGATTGGACGAGGGTTTGGGGGTGATGATCTGGCTTTACAAAGGTTGAGGTGGAGGCCGGTTTCTTCGTCAAAGAAGGTAAGGAAACGTCTTAATTTTTTGAGGTTAGGAAGGGATCCATTTGTGAAGATTAGCACGTCATCTGCGAAAGTAAGATGGTAAACTGTTTGGATCTGGAGTGTATTGTAACCTTTAAGGTGGCCTATGCTGTGGAGGTGATTAAGAGAACGAGTGAGTCCTTCCATGATGATGATGAATATATAAGGGGATAAGGGGTCTCTTTGTCTTACTCCTCTCTTGGGATTAAAAGTTTGGATGGGCTACCATTAATGAGGGTGGAAATAATGTTGTGTTTGATGGAGTTCATGACTAGGATTCTAAATGTGGGGGGAAAGACAAATTGCTCGTCTGCTCCAAACATTTCGCATTGTAGTTCAAATATATTTTGTCAAAAGCCTTAGTGATGTCGAGCTTAAGTGCCAGGTTACCTTGTTGGGGACCCATCGTACGACCCAAAACAAATTAAAAATCAATAAATAATCTTAACTAACCTCCAAAATATAATCAAATAAAAACTATAATTAGAGCAAGTAAGGGTCGATCCAACGGAAAAAGTTTGTACTTTTAAAATCAATTTAGTATGCAAACACGTTGTCACGAAATAAAATAAAAAACTAACTACTACGTAGTATACAATATGATAAGACATAAAACTTTTAATATAAAAACTCAAATAAACACAAGAACTTATAAATAACTTATATAAACAATGAACTTATAATATAACTTATAAAAACATAACACTTATTTATGATATACTAAAAAAGTATAAAAACTTATATTTATAACTTACAAACAAATACTTATAATATAACTTAGTAAAAAACTCATATTATAACTATAAATACAAAAGAGGAGGATGTTGGATGAAAAGTAAATATTTTTTGGTTTTTTTAATACACTACTTAATTAAATAAACGAACAATCATTAATTTCATGCTTTTCTATTTTTTTTTCTTTTTCAAAAACTATTTCCAAATTGTTTATGCAGTAATTGCTCAATTCAAATTTACTCCGTATACATACCTAACCAGAACAGTCAGTTTTACACAAGAAATTTACTCTTTCACAGTGAAAACCAATTCCTGTTTTCCCACGAGTTGGTGTTCCTACGGAGTGGATCGCCGCAGATGTCTCAGACCGCTCAATGAATCTGAATCGGCAAAAGTTCCGATCGCCGCCGCTCCCCATCTCTCCGACGGTAGCTAGCAATGTTTCTGTCAAGACGTCAATGAATCCGAGCCTCAAAATGCCCAAGAGATCGATCCTCAGACCAACCCTAACCCTAGCCATTCTCATATCCCTCTTTTCCCTTTACACCTTCCTCAATTCCTTCGTCTTCTCTAAACCCCTGGCGGTCAACAATGGCGTTGTCAATTTTGGTTCAGCAAGCAATGGAGAGTATTTCGGGGCGGAACCTCAGGTGCCAGTGAAGGTTTATATGTACGATCTACCTAGGGATTTCACCTACGGTGTGATTGAGAGCTACAATTTGGCCCGTGGAGGGGAGAAGGTAAAGGAAGACGCATTGCTCAAGTACCCTGGTACCCAGCATTCAGCTGAATGGCACCTCTTCACCAGCTTACTTGTCCAGGATCATGGCCGGATGGGGTGGTCTATTGTTCCAGTGTCAGACCCCGATCAGGCCGATCTCTTCTTTGTGCCATTTTTTTCATCCTTGAGCCTTGTTGTAAATCCTGTGAATCGGCCTCGCTCAGGGGAGGGGCCTGTGTATAGTGATGAGAAGATGCAGGTAGAAACTTCAGCTGTTCTGTTTTGTGGTATTTGATATCCTTACTGAGAAGGGCTTTTTAAAGCGATGTAGTTTGCTTTATTTACATGTTCGTTTCCAGATAATTTAGTTCATTTTATCCAGCTCTTTTGATGCTGGAAATATTTATTGTATCTAGCTCTTTTGATGAGTACATTCAGGTAGAAATCTTCAATGTTTATACAAAAGTCAGAGTTTTTGATTTAAAATTTTGCATTTTTTTTCAATAAATAGAAAACTGAAAAGAAAGTGATACCGAATGAGACTCTCTGCTAGTGATTTCAGCCAAACTTTATGCTCATATGCCTTTAATTTTTATCACTATATTTTATGTAACTTTAAGTGTAATAATTATCAGAGTTTTATTTTTAGTTTCGTAATGTTTATTTGCTCTTTTGTATATTATATGCAGGATGCTTTGATTGAGTACCTGGAACAACAAGAACATTGGAATAGGAAAAATGGGTGGGATCATGTATTCATTTGTCAGGATCCTAATGCCTTGTACAAAGTCGTGGATAAGGTGAAGAACGGGGTGCTGTTGGTATCAGATTTTGGTAGGTTGGCTCATGATCAGGCCTCCCTAATTAAGGATGTGATATTGCCTTACTCACATCGCATTAATACATATCAGGGAGATGTTGGGATACAAAACCGCAAGACTTTGCTCTTCTTTATGGGAAATCGGTATCGGAAAGAGGTAGCCATCTGATTCTTTTCCATGTTTATTGGAAGGATTTATCATTTGTGAACTGAATATTTGTTGAACTAAATTTGAAAGATGATAAATTATCCTAACAAGCATTAATATTGAAATCGAAGCATTTTTTTGACATTCTGACTTTGTGGAGGTTAGATTGCGCCAATTGAAAACTCCCTCTGTCCCATGTAAGGTTCCACATTTTTCGTCTCAGGAAAAGGTTCCTCTTTCCTTATGAGAAAGGAATTATGTGGTTCACACACTTGCTCTTTCTTGTGCACAAAACTCTATGTCTCAACCACACACTTCCACATTTGTTTATAACTGTAGTCAGTCAAATGTGGAACCTGATTTTGGGATGGAGGGAGTATGGCCATGTTCTCCTCAACTTATTTTTTTACTTATTACTTATTCTTATTGGAATCAGATCAGATCAAAAATAGCTTTAAATATAACTACATTCAAATTAGACCAGATCAGAACTTATTTCAATCAGATCAAAACCAATTGAAGATAACATGGCCTATGTATCGGTGCAATGGCATTTTTTAGATACAACTTTTGAAACGTTGTGTTGTTACAGCATCTGCCGTGACATGTCTATCTGCAGACCATATGGTCTAAGATAGAAAATTTTCTTTAAACGGTTCAACAGTGATGAACTTATCCGTTTTTTTTTTTTCAATAAATACAACGATGCAACCTATAATATTGAGAAATTAATTCATTGGTGAAAAAGTGGTTACACCTATTACAATGTCTCATTTCCTGGAAAATTAAACAAAATTGTATTTTGTGACCTCAAATGCACTTTAGAAGTGCCATGGCATATGTGACTTTTTATAGTTGCTACTTTGGGCCACAATCCCCTTTTTTGTTGCTATGGCATATTTTTCTTGATTTTCATCCCTGTATGTTTTGGATCTTTATTTTTGCAAATGCTGACATTAGCTCATTTTGTTTATATTGCAGGGAGGGAAAATCCGTGATTTGCTCTTCCAAGTTCTTGAGAGTGAAAATGATGTCATTATAAAGCATGGTACACAGTCTAGGGAGAGCCGCCGTGCGGCATCCCAAGGAATGCATACTTCAAAATTCTGTTTACATCCGGCTGGTGACACTCCGTCAGCTTGCCGTTTGTTTGATGCTATTGTGAGCTTGTGCATCCCTGTTATTGTTAGCGACTTTATTGAGTTGCCTTTTGAGGATGCCATAGACTATAGAAAGATCGCAATCTTTATCGATTCAGACACCGCTATAAAGCAAGGCGCTTTGGTTAAAATCCTTAGGGAATTGAGCATGGAGAACATTTTGGAATTTCAACGCGAGTTAAAAAAGGTATTTTGCATGAGTTGTCCCTACTTTCACATTTCACTCATTTTGGAATTTCACGCGAGTTAATGAAGGGTATTTTTTATGAATGTGTGTGCTATCACAGTTCAGTCTTTTTATGTTTTAAAAGTGGAATTTTTGTTTAAAAGTGGAATTTTTGTTTCAATATAAATCTTTCTTTTTATGTTTAAAAGTGGAATTTTTGTGCCATGCAACTGATGTGTCCAATGAGACCCCATTTTAACGGGTTTGTTTGGACTTTCGAATACCGGCATAATAAATCTCACGCATTGTCACACAATACGGAGTATCATTCACCGTACTCTCTTTTTAATAATTTCTTCTTCCTTCAGGTCAAACATTATTTTGAATACGAGGACCCAAATGGAACAGTAAAAGAAATATGGCGACAAGTTTCTTCAAAGTTACCACACATTAAGCTAATGATCAATCGCGATAAGCGACTGGTGAAGAGGGACTTGAATGGCCTGCTGGATTGCTCTTGTATCTGCTCTAACCAGTCAATAATTCCTACAACATTATGACACTCTGCTTGGCTACATTTATTCATCTGTTCATGGCTGATATACGTCGACTCCAAATACACAGACATTGCCTTATTTCCGAAAGGTATAAAAGTTAAGAGCAACGTTATGATGTATATTTACGGTATGTTCATTATGTTAACCACAATAATTTTAGTGTAATGTAATTGGAATGGGTTTGTGTATACCTCTGTAAGATGTGAATATAAAATGGAAAGCTAATATAACCTATTGGTCTTTCAATTGTGACCTAAAAAACAGAATAACCTTTCAAGTTTCAACTACACACCAGCAGTGGCGTTATTGTAGAACTTGCGTAACCAAACGGTCCATACCAATTGAGGTAAGGTAGTCCCATTCAAGATACATTTTTTATAAAAAAAAACTTGCATAATCTAATGAATTCATTTTTTTGTCATAACTGTAAATACTCTCCATAAAAGACTTTCCCGTTTAATATTCACAGAGTTTAAGAAAAATACCGAGTATTGAAAAAGTGAAATGTGTATACGCCCGAAAAGTGAGAATGGGTAAAAAAATTTGAGGATTAAAAAAGATGCATTCATGTCCTATGTTCCAAATTATGATCTCTAGAGTTTCACATATTTATATCAATATATATCCACAAGCTTTGATGAAATGAGTGGTCTAGATTTATTATTGCTCTCATGAGAATACTTGTTTTCATTTAAACCATCTCCTATATATGATCGTTAGTGGTGAGGTAATTGCATCCGTCCTAATTGGAGATAGATAATGGTGTGGGATAATAGCTGTGAGGATGACTCGCTCTCTCT